TATAGTATAATGGACTCCAAAACCCTTTTCGAATTATTAAGCCCCCTATATTACTTACGGGGGTGTGGGCTCTGTGTTTCTTGCTTAAGCCGACAGGACTTTGACAAGTTTGTGATCAGGGTTGTACAAGGTTATTTCAGGGACTCAGAGAATCATGCCACCAGACACACACTCACACAATCTCACACACCTACCTTCAATTAGGCCTCTCATGACGAAACTGCATAAAGATACTTCTGATGTTAGTCAATCATACTTCTGCATTCTACAACCTGGTATTTCCAGCACCTATGGCACATAAGCGTAGTTCCCCACGCTCGTCTCCCTCCTTTGAGTTCCCATCACTCCAAACTTACTAGACTAGTCTTGCAGAGATACCGTAAACTTTGTTCTTGTAGATTCTTAGGTTGTAGTGTTTTTCATTGGGGTTATGGCACTCGCGAGAAGAAAGCCCGAATGCGAGAGTGGTGCACCAACTGGATTCCCAACGATCAGGTTTTACATGCCGAGCTGTTGCTTGTCTCTTATGTTCTAGCTTTAGGGCCCTCTAGGGTTGACAGAAGGGCGTCAGCAACCCATTCAGACTTCCGGAGGGTCTGCCTCAGGGTGCAGGCTGTACTGGAAGGGCTGCCTGGAGGGAGATGTCAGGTCATCTGAAATACGCACGGACGGACAAAAGCCGGACATCGTCTGGGTTCTTTTACCCCGAGAGCAAGTCAGCACTTTTCGTCAACCTGATGTAGTTGCGTATCCGGTTCTGTGTTTGTCAAAGAATCAGATGCCCGTGAATACCCATGTCCCCAACCGCCAACATCCCACGCAGGAAGCCTTCACTTACTCTTTAAGTCTGTGGCAGACGGACTCTGTTTCAAGTGATAGTTTGTTGACTCTTAACCCTAAGCCGTAACTTGTAAACTCTTCATCCCTACAGCACCCAGTGGCCTGACAACAGCGTGAGACTTGGCATATGCTCTATAAGACTCTATAACGGTAAACGTGTAGGGAACCATGAACCTTATAGGGTTTTCACAACCTACCGTACTTGAAAAGGTTAACCGTACTAGGCCCTTAAGATAATTAGGTGGTGTTCGTGTTTAAGTGCCGTCGAGCTGTGTAAAGTGGCCGACTACATCAAGTCCGTCCTAACTCGTTTCGTTAGAACAGACAGAATCAGAATGCCCGACGCCCAGACTGGTCTGGTGGGTGCGGAGTTTGGGCTTTCCGGATGAGGTCTGTGAAGATATCACATTTAGGGCCAAGGGATTTTGAGCCAATTGCTTTGTCCAGAAGCCCTGAACAGTATCTGCAGTGTCGCCGTCCTAGGACACTGGCGTCCCTTTTGAGGTCGCGGAGGCTTGGGCGGCCGGTAGCGAGGGCTAGAGGGGTTTGGACAGGCTTGAGCTGCCAGGACAGCCCCCCCCCTCCCCTCCCCACATCCAAATACTTAATTATGGGTACTTAGAAATAGTTTTAATCTTTGGCGACTATAAACCCCAAGAAGCAGCAACAATTATAGTTTTTGCTACGGGCCTAAGTTCAGTATAGAATACCTTGTCAACGAATCTCACGCGTCTTCACTGGCAGGTGCTCAGGTGTTATATACATAGACGCACATTCAGGGCTGAAGGTTTAGAGGTTCAGGGCTAAAAGGCTTTGTCGAAGGCTTCAGGTTGCTTCGGGTTTTATCTTGAAGGTTCAGGCTGCAAAAACTACACCCGGACCTAGACTCCCTGACAGAAACCCATACTCAAACCCCGAACCCTAAGCGACTGCAGCCCAAAGTTCAGTAGCCGTCTTCCGCCTACCTCGACCCCGGAGTGTAGCAACGCCCTTCACACGCTGGGGGGGTGCTCTAAACTAAAGCTCCAAAACTCAACAGTAGTAGACCTCAGACCTAATTTAGAGCCCTAAGACCTTAACCTTCCACAGTCCTAGTCCCCAGACCTAGAGCACTATAAGACTAAGACAGAAAAGTCCTTCTTCCTCCCTAGCCTCAAGACCATACAATCCCAAGCCGAAAAGCTTAAGGCCCTAACTGGGCTCTTGTTAAGGAGGCCAACTTGTATTAACTTATATTGCATTGTCCTGATATAGGTACCTTCAGTACATGCTAATAGTAATCAAAAATATAAATATTGAAATTCCTAATACAAACAACAATAATAACAACATGGTTTCCTTATCGTGGTAACTTAAACCAAGCCCCTAGACAAACACCCGGCTACCCATAGGCGCTAAAGTAGTTTCTTTCGGGGTTCATGTATAGAATCCTATAAGGTCATCCCAAACAGGAACTACTTTGGGGCCTATGGGTATTCTGAAACTCGAATAACAATAATAACAATATGGTTTCCTTATCGTGGTAACTTAAGCTGGACAACCACCCGGCTAAGCCCCATGCTCTTCGCGTAACCGCCGCAACCCGTGAGGCTTGTGCCCAGCCTCTCGCCCTGATCTTGGTGACCCGAATTTAGCGTTTTGGGGTTTGGGCTTAGGGTTTGACGGTTTTGGGGTTTGGGCTTAGGGTTTTACGGTTTTGGGGTTTGGGTTTTGGGGTTTGGGTTTAGGGTTTTGGGGTTTTGGGATGTTTAGGGTTTAGAAGTACTCGGCTTGCCAGCACCACCAACAAGCACACGAAGACGTCGAGGAGTGCGATGACGACGGCGACCAGACACACAACAACGACCCTCCCCACGAACTCACTACCTACCTATAGGTAGTTCTCTATATTCGAAACCTTGTATATAGGTCACACAAAATAGTACGGCACACGTATATACAGGACCCTAGCCAATTTAAAATTTTACAGAACTACCCACCTACTAAACTCGACTACTTTCACAGCATCTTGAAGCCTCGAGGGCAAAGCGCGCAGGTCCCTGGGCCTCACACGTGTTGCAAGGTTGGGGGTGTGGCTTCGTAGCACAGCCGGAGACCTCAGCCATTTTTTGCATTTGGAGGTTGCTCCAAACCTTTTTGAACGGTTCAACGAAGACAATTCCCGGAGCCTTGAGTTCGTAAACATCAAGGTCTCTTGTGAAAAAAGTTCTGCGAGCACCTAGGCCCCCCGGATCCTCTAAACTGTACGAAGCCGTCTAAATGACCCAGTGTTGTTTCTGTGGGAGAGCTCGACCTCACTGTAATCAATCACCGGGCTTGCCTTGAGCTTCGGCGTGAATCCAAATCCCATATATAGATCGTCGTGTCCCTTGCTCTTCCTACAGAGCCCAAGACCCTGAAGTAAAGGGATGTTAGTTGAAGTAGATACCCTAAACCCTAAACGAGGTTCATTTCGATCCCCTGCCGGGGCAAGGGCTCCCTGAACATCTCACACGCGGTTGCCTTGGTGCTGTGCCTGAGCAAGAGTTTGGGCTTTAGGATTTTAGGGTTTAGGGTTGAGGGTTTTAGGGTTCCGGGCATATCCCATAGGTCCTATCACTCCTAAGCCCTACCGAACCCAGCCGCATGGACCAACCTCGTGGGTGTTCCTTATTATGCATTCCTAGTATAGTACCTTGAACATCACACACTCCCCTAGACCCGTACGTTTTTGCTCCCTTAGACCCGTACGTTTTTGGATTGCAGGCTCCAGTCTGAACTGCGAAACCAACAACCATTTCCTATGGCCCGCGAGTTGAGTAATAGACGAGACGATGAGACGATGTCTTTTTGGAGATGCTCAGGTCTCGGGCTTCCATCAAAGAGGGAGTACTTACGGGATTCGCACGCAGGTCATAGGCCACAAGAAGTGTATAATACAAGTGAGGTACACCTCCGGGGTAGTAACCGGGTAGTACGTATAACTCACACAGAAAACCTCTTGAGCCCCGCGCAGCTTGTAGGGAAGGCTAGATGTTAGTTGGAAGCACAAGCTAGCCAATTGTCGTAGTCGTAGACCTCAGGTCAGGTCTCAAACGCACATAAACTATGATAAACTACGGGGGGTACACAGCAATAAACATTCTCGGTGTACTACACTGTTTTCCGGGTAGTGAACACTCTTCCTCGCCTTAAACGTGCTTCACTAACCGACATCGTCATCCTCAATGCCAAATTCCTAACCAAAGCTACAGATGCCAGTCCCTGCACACAGCCGCCAATTCAGCACCCTCGTCTGCCACCTAGATCTCCTAAAGCCGAAACCCGAGCAAAGCCTTGTTTCGACAGATTCATGGTGCTTTTTGGTCTTCTGCGGTTTGGACACACTAGGTACGTGCTGATTCCAATGCAATAGCATGGGGCACTGTCCCTCCGCAACAGCAAAAGCAAATGTCACCCGTCCTCTTTGTCCAAGCTGACCACAAACAATGGGTGATCGGAGTGACGGGGCTGTTGAGCACGATTGAGCGACAGTCCGACTATCTGGAGGGTGGTCGGCATGTGCAACCCTACGGCAGGAAGTGCTCTTGTCACCTTCAAAGCCAAACCTTAACTATACTTTGCCCGTCCTGTCCATGTTCTGCAGGCACCACCGTTGAGAAAGCCCCAGGACGACTGTAACCCCGCAAAGGCAACATTTGCAAAAGTTGTTAGCGAGCCAAGTTACGAGCGTGGCCGTCAACTGCGGGCAGATGCGCGAGACTTTGGCAGCAGATAGGGGGTCCTTGGGTCTGCCTATAGTCTCCATTGTAGTTCCTTTTTTTGGTTTAACCAACTATATATTAAGGATTCTAGAAGGTATCCCCAAAAAGGAACTACAATGGAGACTATAGGTGGGTCGAAGCAGTGGGTTGCCACAGCTAAGGTCGCATTCCCTCTGCGGAATTGTGTAGGGTCAGCGGCACGTATTGGAGATGCCCTCCCTATAACTTCTGGCTCGGTTCCGTAGCATTTTCGCACTGTTCTCGTCGTTGTGCTGACGCCCTGACAAAGGAAGAGTCCCTGACTATGTTATGCTGGCGTGCTTCTCGTACAGTAGTGCAAGTTCTGTGTGACTCAGGCGGCTTCACTTAGTAGGTCGGAGGACTCCTTGCGACGGTCTGTCCAAACAAGACCTGACGAGGGCTGTGCAGTAACTTCGCAACCTTGAATTACGGGTCTAAATGGTTTTCGACTAAATAATGCCCCCTTGTGATCCATGTAGTTACACTCAACAACACGCCCCCAAAACCCTGTTTAAACTATCAAGGCCGATAAGCGCCCGTACAGCTATAGTCGGTGCAGACGCCCCTCCTTAATTGCAAGGCATGCGCTTGCGAGCATGACCTTTCTGGAAAGATCTTCTTGGCAACGGGCAGCTGCTCAATGCATGCGCTGGCTTGCGGAAGCTGAAGCTGCACAGCACAAGGTGCCGAATTTTCAGCAGGATGCCACATGCACACTTCCTGCATGGCACTTCCACAACTGCTGCTCGTCGTGCAGTGTAGAAATATGTTGAAACACGATGTTTGTGCGGTTTCGTTGTCCGTCGGCATAGCCGCCCAGTAGCTTCCCGGTATCGGGTTATTTTTATGAGCATGGATGACGGTGTTGGAGCCGGCGGCGAAGGGGGCATTGCAAATATCAGCAACGGCAACAATAGCATTTGGTAAGCAAAACCTGTTGCTGTTTACATCGGGCACCCAGGAAAACCACAGTTGACCTTTCTGATGCCCATGCTGCTTCTGCTGTCTATCTGTCAGAGCCAGGGAGAACACTTTAACCCAGGCCTCCGGTGTCAAATTTTCTTGTCTGCACCAGCAGGAAAACCCCGCCACTCGTCCAGTAATTTGCGTGTTGTCGGTCAGACTACCGTAGAGACTCTGCACATAACAGTCAGGACCATGAAACACGATAGTGCCAAAGAAAGATTGGCCAATTTCAGATGCCGACAAACAGAGCAGCGCGCGATACAGGTTCCGACAAAGTATTGTTTTTGTCTTTCAGAAGCCGGGAAGTACGGTTGTTCCCCACCCTCGGTGTGGGGTTGCTAGATTTGAAAAACAGCTATTACTCGCGCCTGCTCCTCCCAGAGACTGCCTTGAGTGCTCACCCCCAGAGACTACCGTGAGAATCCCTAGAGTGCCCAACCACAGACTGCCGTGAGAATGCCTGGAATTCCCAACCCCACAGACTAGGGTGAGACTCCCTGGAGTGCCCAGCCCCACCGACTGCCGTGAGACTCCCTGATTTGCCCAACCTTACACGCCAGATTCTGTCCAGCCCGCTGTCTCCCTGCCTATACATATCCCTCGTGTATCTATATTGTCTGAGCAGTCTGGTTTCTGCCTGTCTTTCTGTGTCTAAGCCGGTACACATGAATATATGTAAGTATACGCATGTATACTTGCTTTCTTTTTCTTTTTACACTACACACACACACACATATATATATATATGTAAGCATACATATACATGCTTCAGACAATTGACCGACATCGGCATGCATAACCAACAACTATGTTGGCATCCTGCTAGATGTACACACACGAACACACACACACACACACACATATATATATATATATATGTATCTATGTATGTATGTTTGTATGTATGTATGTATGTATGTATGCATGTATGTAGGTATGTA